GATTTTAGGAAAATGAAGAAGGGGAGAAGGAGAATTAAAAGTGAAAGAAGGAAAAGAAGGCGGAGAAGATGGAGAAGTAGGAGAAGGGGTAAAAGAAGATAGGAAAGAGAGTTGGAGCATATGAATGAGAAGAAGATGAAAAAAAAGAAGGAAAGCAAAACCAGGGGAGAGAAGAAGAAGAAGAAGAAGAAGAAGAAGAAGAAGAAGAAGAAGTTTCAGGAGGGGAACAAACACAACAAGGATGGATAATTTGGTGAAGAAGAAGCAACCAAAAAGACTGAAGAAAAAGGAGGTGGAAGAAGAGGAAAATCAACAGATGGAAAAGAAGTGGGAGAAGAAGAAGGAACATGAGGAGAATATTAAGTACTGTAGGAGGGGAATTAAGAAAAGGTGAAGAGACAGGAGAGGAAGAGGAAGAAGACTAAGATCAAGACGGAGAAATAGAAGAACAGGAGCATCATCACACTCAGGCCTGATCTTCAGAGATGGAGAACAAACGATGAACAGGAGCGCCGTACCTCCAGAGAGACTCCATGAATGACATCTAACGGGTCGATGACGTTTCCCAGAGATTTACTCATCTTCCTGCCGTGCTTGTCTCTCACCATGGAGTGAAGGAGGACCTGATGCATCACGGGAACAAAGATCAGAATCAAACAAATGTAGCCGTGTTCACACATGCACTCCTGGCACTAACCGAACGAAACGCACCTGTCTGAAGGGAAGCTGTCCCGTCAGCTCGGCGCCCAGCATCACCATCCTCGCCACCCAGAAGAAGACGAGGTCACTTCCTGTCTCCAGGATGGAGTTGGGGTAGAAGCGCTGGAGGTCAGGGGTCTGTAGGGGAGCAGGGTGTGCAGGGGTTATAAGACACAGAGACAGAACTGTAGTGTGCTTCACTGTGGAGGAGGAGCGGTACCTTGTCAGGCCAGCCGAGCATGGCAAAGGGGAACAGCCCCGAGGAGAACCAGGTGTCCAGGACGTCCGGGTCTGAGACAGAGACAGAGAGAGAGAGCGTGCAGGTGTAAATCAAGAAATACAAAAATATTTAACACATAAAAGACAAGAAAACAATGAGATACAACATGCTGCTTCACGACACAGTCAAAGCATACGTTTCTAGTAAAAAACAAACAATATCAATATCTGTGTTGATATCAGAACAGAAATAGAAGTCCTAGTTTCCCAATTGGGTAATTTCTTTTTCCTTTATTGGATAGGAAAGCTGCAGAGAGACAGGAAATGTTGGGAGGAGAGAGAGAGAGAGAGAGAGAGAGGGGGGGGGGGGGATGACATGCAGCAAAGGGGCGTGGTCGGAATCTAACCATGACTGCGGCGACGAGGACTGTAGTCATGGGGAACACAACATAACCGCTAGGCTATCTGCGCTCCCGGTAATAACTTGTGTCTATCACATGAAATTGCAAAACTCCTGCCGCGAGAAAAAGAGAGAGAGAGCAAGCGAAACGCCGTCCCTTTAATCTCTCTCTCTTTCTGTATCTCTGCACATCTCTTTGTGTTTCATTATCGGACACAGCAGGAAGCGAACAGGCAAGATAAAGGTGAGTCACCCTGAGTCAAAGCGACGTCTTCCTGTTTGACTCCGTATTTAACAGCCGCTCTCTGCCGAGCCTCGTCCTCACTGCGTCCACAAACCCACAACTCCTCCTGGAAACACACACGCAAAGTCACACACTTTTCATTTTTCCAGATTCTGTGCGTAGAGATCGATACAGTGTTGACGTAGATTTACATATCTACAGATCTAACCTGCTGAGTGTCGGTAGAATCAGGAAGCTGCACTCTGTACGCCGGGATCTGATGACCCCACCAGAGCTGGCGGGAAACGCACCAATCACTGTAAACACACGGACATTGTTTGATCACACAGCAGCTCATTCATCATCAGGCTGCTGTCATTTCACTCACATGTCACATCAGAAACACAGCAGGGCATTGTTCATCCTCACTCCCCTGCTAACAGTCTAAAGCTCGTTACACACACACACACACACACACACACACACACACACACACACACACACACACACACACACACACACACACACACACACACACACACACACACACACACACACACACACACACACACACACACACACACACACACACACACACACACACACACACACACACACACACACACACACACACACACACACACACACGTCCTGATGTATGCAGGTGAGCTGCAGGTGAACAAACACCCCGACTTCAAGGGGACTTAACTGAACACTCCTCCCCCTCCTCCTCCTCTTCCTCTCCTGCTGTGATGTGCAACGTCCCAGGTGAGGAACATACCTGATGTTGGACAGCCAGCTCTTCCACGTCTTGTCGTATGAGTGAGGGATGATCTCCAGCTCGCCCTCCTCCACTGCCTGACACAGAAACAAACGTCACCATCCTAACATTTCAACCTTAAATACATCAAGTTTGATCACCTGCTGCTCACCTGAACGGCTTTCTGAGCCATTTCCTCGCAGCGGACGAACCACTGCTTCTTCAGCAGAGGTTCGATGACGTCTCCTGAGCGGCTGAGGAGCAGAGGGAGGAGGGAACTAAATCATCATTTAAGGACATAAATCAACTTTTTTAACCCTTCATTTGACGGGACAGCTGAAGAGAGACGGGAAGCGTTGGGAGGAGAGAGCAAGGGATGACATGCAGCAGAGGGCCGGGGTCAGTGAGATGAGGACTTTAGCCTCTGTTGGCAGGGATTGTGACTTAACTGCTTGGCTACCCAGTGCCCCTTAAGGACAAAATAAAGCCTAGTTAAGTCTGGACAGGAAAGACTGTTTTCATGTGTCGGGATAAAGGAAGCTATAACGAGCACTGCTGGAAATTTATTGTGAAAGTTTTTGCACACAGTAAGTATTAAAACTGGTTATGCACATTTATACTATGACTAACTATTTTGGTGCTTTCACACATACATAAAACTCCTGAAATTTTAGGGTTTAGCTGCATGTGTGAACGCAAACAGCCTGATTTTTCACTCTGACTTTACCCGGGATTTTTCCTGCCAGCCCCCTTAGTTAACGCAGCAGGAAATATTCAGGAAATTTCATGGTGTGAGTGAGTAGATTGTGATGGGTTTGATATCCTGCGACAGACACACGACCAGACTTCATGCAGCCGACCGGTGCAATCTCTGTGCATGTGAAGAAACTGCTGCATTATGTCATCCCCCTCCCGTCTGACAGGGAGAGTCTGCTGCTGATGCATGTGTGAAACAAGTCAGGTAGGTAGTCGTCCTGACATTTTTCTAAACATTTTCAGGAGTGCATTGTTGAAATCGTTGTGTGTGTGTGTATGTGTGTACCTGCAGACAGGTAAAGTCATGGCGTGGCTCTTCTTCCCTCTGAACAGCTTCCTCTCCATCAAAGCGTCGACCACCTGCTGTCTGGCATCAAAACGCTTCACTCCCTTTAAACAAACACAAATCATCACATCCCAAACCGTCAGCTCCTGTCCTCTAACACAACCACACACTTCACAGCAGTTTAAAGAGCGTGCACCTGCAGCCAGTGTCCACAGGGGGGCGACATGGTCCCATCTCCTGAGATCACAGTGAGGCGAGGCAACGAGTGTCTCTGAGACAGCAGGAAGTCAGCGTGGTCGTGAGCCGGAGTCACCTTCACCGCACCTGAAGCACACACACAGAGAACACACACAAACACACACACACACACACACACACACACACACACACACACACACACACAAACAGACACACACACACACACACACACACACACAGACACAGACACAGACACAGACACAGACAGGTGAAATGACATTCACTGAGCATGTGCAGGAGCAGTTTGTAATGAGGCAGGTGTGTGTTACTCTCACCTGTTCCCAGCTGCATGTCCACTGTGCGGTCAGTGATGACGGGCAGCAGCCTGTCAGTGAACGGGTGTCTGAGCTGTTTCCCATGATGAGCCTGAAACAAACACAAACTAAAGTCATGCTGGATCATTTTGGGATCTACAGCTCACATCTGAGCCTTTTTCACTCAAACACTCAGGAGCGTCATTTAAAGGTCTCTGTTTCTCTTTGTTTCAGCTCTGCATTATAGTAGTTTATATACCCTCCAACGTGGTCGATGTTTACACAAAAACTGGTGACATATGAAAGAGTGTTAGGGCCACATTAAAGGGGAAAGATTGAGATTATGAGATTAAAGTCGAGATTTTAGTCTACAGTTATATCAGAAGAGCAGCCGCCTGAACGAAAGGGAGGAACGTGGAGCCTCTTGCGAAGTTAAACTTTAGTAAAAGTTTCACATATCAGAAAAAACTGGACCCTGAAAATCCATATCACTGATCCTGTTCTACAAAAACACATTGGATCTTCATTAGAGCTCCATCAAACACTGAGACTGGCCTGATATCGAGGGTCGTCGGGGTGAACGGCAACAGCCACGTCTCCCAGCATGGTCTCGGGTCGGGTGGTGGACACACACACCTCCCCGTCTGACGGACAGAGAACCATGAATACATCAGAAATCATTCTACAGCAAATAAAAACGAGTAAACAGTCAAATCTAAATCTCTCACCGTGTCCGTCCAGAGGATACGCAAATGTCACCATCGTCCCAAACTCCACCTTGTTGTCGTAACCAGGAACAGACAGCATGGTCTGTCCACACAGCTCCTGAGAGTCCACCTGACACAGAACACACACCTTTACCTTCACACGCACACACACAACCACATCTGTACAATTTGTGTGGATACAGCCACAAACTGACAGAAATGATGACAAAGTATTTGTGCGATTTAAACATTTGTCTCTCTCTCTCTCTCTGACATTCTTTTTCAGGCTTCAGTACTTATGGATCATTATTACAATGGCAGAGATTGGGGTGCTGGTGGTCTAGTGGTGAGTTCCACTAGGTACGGAGGGTGTAGACCTCCAAGTGGGCGGCCTGGGCTCAAATCTGTACTGTGTCTCCTTTCCCACATCTCATTCCTCTCTCTCTCTCTCTCTCTCTCTCTCTCTCTCTCTCTCTCTCTCTCTCTTCTCTCTCTCTCTCTCTCTCTCTCTCTCTCTCTCTCTCTCTCTCTCTCTCTCTCTCTCTCTCTCTCTCTCTCTCTCTCTCTCTATCCACTATCCTGTCTCTACTTTGAAGGGATAAAAATCCCCCCTACATCTAAAGCTGTTTGCACACATGCACATCTGGAAATGTGTAAGAAACTTCATGCAGACTGCCTCTGATATCTTCCCCAGTACAAAAAAAAAAATGTGTCCGTTTGTGTTCACACATGTCGAAACTACAGGGAGATTCCAGGAGCTTTGTGCGAGTGTGAAAGCGCCGTCAGTCTCACCTCGATGTCAGAGATGGCCGACTCCAGTGCACAGCTCCAGTTGACCAACGCTTCAGAGCGATAAATGAGACCGGAGTCGGAGAGACGGACGAAGGCCTCGGTCACCGCTCGGCTGAAACTCTGGGAACAGATTCAAAACAACATGAAACAGCACTCGTTGAAAATCAAAGAAGCTTCAATAATATGGTGCAGAAGTTGCTGTTTTTACTGAGAAAATCTCGTCTCCTGCTAGCTGCAAAAACATGTAGAGCACCTTTAAGTTTATATACATTTTGTGCAATTTAGAATTTTACTTGATTTCATTTAACTTCCAGCTGTTCTTTTTGTTCCTGTTGACTCACAAAGATAATCGATTATTTAACATATTTCCAGTTTATAAAAAATGTAGATTTGATGTGAATGTAAATACGTTAGTTAAACCTTAACCTGACGCTAAACTTTAACGTATCTACACTAGTGAAGGCCGACACTTGAGGTGAGCTGCATGAATGAGATCAAACTTTAAGAATTGTTTTCAACATTCACATCAAAACACTTCACATCACGTTTTAAACATTTCTTACTGGATCCAGAGTGAAACAGGCTCTGCTCCAGTCCAGAGAGGCTCCCATCCTCCTCAGCTGCTGGTAGATCTCATCTCCTTTCCTGAATCACACACACACACACACACACACACACACACACAGTGTCGATAAAGAGGAGGGCTGTCAGCGCTAATGTGTTAAATGTGATTTCCATTGAGGTCCAAAATCAGCATATCCATTTTTTTTTAAAATTGTATTCATCCCATCTCTAGATTGTCCCTTATGGGGCACCGTAGTTGGGCCACTGTATCGTCTTCCTGCTCCTGCAGTGAAGATGAAGAACGACGCTGCTGGACCTTTGAGTGGCTGATTTCACTTAAAATAAACTCCCAGAAGGCTCAGCTGCGACGTCCAAAGTAATATCCACCTCGTGATATCAAACATTTCACTTTTGACCGCTCTTTTATATGTTTTCATTCACTTCAGTTATTTTCCGTTCTGTCTTGACTTTCTTAATTTGTTGATAAACTTATCTAATAAACTCATCAATTCTTTCATCTTCTTTCAAAATAAAAGCATGTTTTTAGTCAAAACAGGAAGTAAAGGGACCTTATTTTAAGACAGTACAAACTACAAAACAAAGGCATGACAAAAACTGTCCTCAAAGGCAAAATAATAAGAATCAAACATGCAATTAAAAAATGCATTAAACGGGTATAACTCTGGAAATTCCCCGATTGACCGTGATTAAAATGATGAATCGTTTGACAGCCCTAAGAAAGAGGGGCGGTGTGAAGGTGAACACTCACTCGTTCTTCCATTTCCAAATCTCCTGCAGGAACTCCTCTCTCGAGAAGTCCTTTCTGCTCCTCCCTTGTTCCCTCAGGAGCTTCCTCTCCACCACACTCTGCAGCAAACGCACGCACACACACACACACAAAAGCACATCTTCTTAAAGCTTTGACATGAAGTCAATAAACATCCAGATAAAAAGAGAACTTTAAGTTGTTGTAGTTCGTACCTGTGTAGCGATGCCTGCGTGGTCACACCCGGGGACCCAGAGGACTCTGTAGCCCTGCATCCTCCTCCTGAAGGACAACAAACACACATGTTACTGATCCACCGACAGACAGTCGGACACAGCGTGCTGCGAGTGTCGTTGTCAGGTACCATCGGACCAGAGCGTCCTCCACAGCCACAGTGAGAGCGTGACCGAGGTGCAGAGTCCCCGTCACGTTTGGAGGAGGGATACACAGAGAGAAGGTCTGATCCACAGCCTGAGGTAAACTCTCCTGGAAGATGTGGAAAAAAACAACGTAAATGAACAGCAGTAAACACACACTCATTGTACACCATCACCTGCTCACTGCTTACACAGCCAACTATGAATCCAACCTCAGGAAGGTTTAATGATTAAAGATTTTCCAATCATACACTGTGCAGTGTTCAAGTGTCGTTGTTGTTGTTGTTTCTGTCACAACAAAGAAAAGTAGGATGTCATTATAAGAACTTATCAAGAACCAACAACACATTTTTAAACTGGTTAAACATTTGTGTTTTGTAGTCATTCTATTGTTGATCCAAAGTTACAGTTGAAGTTTTATTGTGATATCAGAACAAGGGCCCTGGGTAGACATGTTGTTACCAAGGCAACAAGGGCCCTGGGTAGACATGTTGTTACCAAGGCAACAAGGGCCCTGGGTAATGATGTTATCGCTAAGGCAACAAGGGCCCTTGGTAAGGATGTTGTTACCAAGGTGACAAGGGCCCTGGGTAAAGATGTTGTTACCAAGGTGACAAGGGCCCTGGGTAAAGATGTTGTTACCAAGGCGACAAGGGCCCTGGGTAAAGATGTTGTTACCAAGGTGACAAGGGCCCTGGGTAAAGATGTTGTTACCAAGGCGACAAGGGCCCTTGGTAAGGATGTTGTTACCAAGGTGACAAGGGCCCTGGGTAAAGATGTTGTTACCAAGGTGACAAGGGCCCTGGGTAAAGATGTTGTTACCAAGGCGACAAGGGCCCTGGGTAAGGATGTTGTCACTAAGGCAACAAGGGCCCTGGGTAAAGATGTTGTTACCAAGGCGACAAGGGCCCTTGGTAAGGATGTTGTTACCAAGGTGACAAGGGCCCTGGGTAAAGATGTTG